CATAATATTCAGTTAAGGTTCTATTATTTTGTTTTGCAGTGAATGCCCTTTAATTCAGGACAAACACCTGTAGCTGACCACTTCCATCATAAAACATCTTTGACAAAGTATTCCAAATATTAAGGGCAGTGGGTAAGCGAATATATCTTTTTATGATTTTTGGCTTCATGAACATCAGTAGTCATCTTTTCACTTTTTGGTTTTCATCATACCATTTTTCATATCCTTCATCTTTCTTTGTTGGAGGTTTCACCTTCCCACAGATGTAGGACAATTTTTCCCTCTCTGCAATATGCATCTCCATTAGTTGTGACCATACGTCATAATTGGATTCATTTAGGATGATGTCTATGTTGAAGACACCTTCAAATTGAACAATCACTAGAATTATTTTTTCTGTCATCTCTCCAGTTAAGATCTCCAAGTATTTAGAAAAAAAAAATTATAAGCTTTGGTACCAAATTGAAAAACATAGAATTCATTTTATAATTTTATTCATATTATTTTTGTACACAGATATCATGATCTTATAGTATTTTACTTCAATAAATCAGAACTAAATAAAAGAAGTTCTGATTATACAATATTTTATTCCACTATATAAACTTATAATTTAGCTAATCAAATATTTTTATCCCAATATAATGTACATAAATTCCAACAACAGGTAAATAAATTAATGATCAATAGAGAAATGAACAATAGAGAAAGCTTCAAAGCGGACTCTAGCATAAGGATATGCACCATTCACATAAAATAAAGCACACTTACCATGCCTAATTTAACAAAGCACCATCCTTAGCAACTAAATACCATGCCTAATTTAACAAAGCACCATCCTTAGCAACTAAGCTGATAACTTCTTTCGGAAAAAGAAACCAACATATAAAATAGATGATGAATGAGAAACAAATACCAAATACTCAAGACTTGGTTCAGACGATTTATCCTCCTTTGCCAGTATGATGTAAACAAAATCTGGATCATGCCCCATCTTTCCCTCAACCTTACTGGTAAAACCTGAGAAATGATGGAAAGCTCATAAGAGAAGTACCTACAAACAATTTTCAGGTAAAGTTAAAACAGTCCATGCATTTTGGTATGAAAATATTTTGGCAGAAAAACAAAAGTCATTGTGTGAAAGTGAAATCACTGATAATGATATATAGTAGTATATCTACCTCAAAACCTTGTTGATGTTTTCTTCCTTTATGGGCATGCCACATTTCATCAATTACTTACATAATTTTTGTTTTCATTTTTAATACGTTTCTGGTTTCAAGTACACATGTGAAACCCGTTTGTTATCTAAATCTTTAGAGAATAAATTAGATATTTTTTTTGGTAGAAGTAATGAGAATAAAAAAAACAAAATACTAAAATTTTGTCATAATTTGTTTTTAAAATAGTAATATCTTTAATACAATATTCTCCTTCTATTGTTTTCTAACTCTCTAAACTCAAATCAAAATATTCTAAATGGTTGTCCATTATTATTATTATTATTATTATTATTATTATTATTATTATTATTCTAAAAGATAATTCAGTGAGTAACATAATATATTAGAATTTAATATAATTTGTAAAAAAAATAGATAACAATCAACTTTTATTATAAATGATCAAAGTTCTAAATTAGAAATTAATAATTATCATTTGTATATAAATTTTGACACTTAAATATTAGATTTTGGTCTTATTCCGGTGAAAGCATAAATGTACATGAAAAGAAATGTTCTCCTGGGCATTTAATATTGAAGTTTCAATATCATGCAAAAATCAATTTATCAAATATTTATTAAGATTGATAAGGTGATGTTGTTGTGTATAAAATTGATAGGCCATTGCGTGGCGGAAGCGGCAGTGTAAGATGTGGCGTAGGGTAATTATAATTATCCCCTTCTTCTTTTTGGAAAACAAAAACATGGCTTCACCAAAAGGGGAATTTCATTCCTTCAAGCCTTCTTCAACCAAGAGATACTCTTCAGATTCACCACTTTCCTCTTAATATTCATTGCAGCCAAGCCACAGGGTTGACAAGGTCCCAACCCTAATCTTAATCAATACTTTGCTTGATTATAAATTATTTGTTTCACACAAGGTACCAACTTTAATACATTATCTGTACTTTCTTAAAAATCATATTATAATGTAACATGAACATATACATCCGTCACAACATATAGGGTTTGATCATTGTTAAGCCTTCAATTCTTAACTCTTACCTAACTCATAAACTATTCTCCCTTGCCCAAGACACTTTGCTTTTCTCTTTAACAAAAATACACTTCATTTTCTTATACATATACGTCAATATTAGTTTATATAAATTATATACCTTAACTAAATTTGATTCAATTTTATTTTGGATATATAATAAACAATTTTGTCAATTAATGCTCACTTGGATCTTAGTTTGTTGTCCTCTTAAACATCTAATATTAACATAGTCCTTGTACTTTATCTATTCATAGACAACTAATAACAAATATTTTGCTATGAGTTAAGTTCTTATTTAAATGTCAAAGTCTTTGCAGGTGATTACCGTTATCAGACTAACTTAAAAATGTTTTTATTTCCATTAAATTATCAAATTTTATTTAGTCCCTAATCAAATTTTATTGAAATTTTTATCTAATAATTATTTTTTTTATATCTCAAAAATCTGTGTTTAAATAAATTTATTTAACGGTTTAAATTTATTATCTAAATTGCTTTATATAGTAAAAATCCAATAACTTTATTAGAAACAAGAAAGTCAAACTATTTTATTAAGGACCTAGAACCAAATCCAATAATTAATAGAAAAAATAAATAAATATGAATTTATTTGTTTTATTAATTTAATTAATTATTACTCTCTCTTTGAAAAATATGAATAGAAAAATTTGTTTATAAAATGTATTACTTTGTAAAGTTTAAGATTGTATACTAATTATTCTTTTACCAATTATATTTTTATCTCTTAATTATATCTATTATACAAAGAAGGAATAATAAGTTACTTAATTAAGAGTATTTTGATTTGAGTAATACGATAATAAAAAGATTAATAAAAAAAATAATAAATTTATTAAAACTAATAAAAACTAATATTTATTTAAATCTATATAACTTAACCTTAAATGTCATATATATAACATTCAAAATTATGTTATTTAGTTGAAAAAAAATTATATTTGCTTATATTGTAAGTGATTGTTCTTGCCTAGTACCTAGCATTCTCATATCCTTTAATCTAAAGGCAAAAGATGACTAGTGACTCTTACATTTAAAGGTCTAGTCTTTATCACAAAAGTGTTGGTGAGATTCATTATTAGTTTCTTAATATGCTTTTCAGTACGTCACTCAAATTAAGTTTGAGAAGGTAGAATCTAATGAAGCATTCTGTATGATACATTAAATAGGTTAACTTTATTCGGATTCTAGTAAAAACTTCAAGTTTTGTCTATCAAGAAAATTTCAGAATAAAACAAGAAAATCCAACTTTAGTTTAAATTTGCCTATTTTATTATTTATTTTGAACATTAATATTGATCCATCATTTAGAATAAAAATTCTGAATTATTAAATTATTAATAGAAAATACTATTGAATCATAATAGTTGAATAATTTATAAATGGCAATTATAAATTTGTTTCGATATATATTAGGTCACTCATATAATGTTTATATGTACAAAATTTATTTGCCCTTTGAAAGTTGTTAACAAATTTTTAACCATTGAAAACAAAGTAATTGTTATTACCCTATTTTCTACTAAGGATTTTGTTTCCTTTTTTATTTATGATCTTAATACTATATGATATATATGCATAGGATTAAATTCATTTAAATATATAATTTTTATTTAGAGTTGTCACCTCCGTCCTAAAGATAATCCATTGATTTTGTTTGAGTAACTATGTTTCATGTTTAGTTTACCCTCTCATAATAAGAAACTATTTAATATATATATATATATATATATATATATATATATATATATATATATATATATATATTACAAATATTATTAAATTACAATATCAAAATAGAGGAAACATTTGTTTACTAAAAGTAGAGGAACATATTATTATTATTACATTTAAAATATGTTTGGCCAAATTTTGAAGTTAGTTTCCTTTTGAAATTTGAAAACAAAAACTAAGCCAATAACTTTTTATTTAAAACCCTTGAAATATAAGATATTCATTTTTAAAGAACAAATTTTCAAACTATGTATATGTTTTACTTATATAAATAAGTAGGTAGGTAGATCATAACCTCAATTTGGAATTTCAGTGAAGAAGTAACATATTTTGATGTAACTTGTGCCGGAAAAAAGATGCACAAACTCGCTCATTTGATTTGCTAACGAGGAGGAAAAAGATACAAATTTATTCAGCATAAGATCACAAAAGTAATAGTTTCTTTCAAATGCAATGGTGAGATTGGTGTATGTGGTCAAATCCATATATTTCTCAATAGCAAAGTCTTGGAGAGTCTAATGAAGAACCCAAATCATTGTTTGAGTTACAGTGATGATTGGATGAATGAATGTGTGCATGATGGAATCCTCACTTGGCATGGCTACCATCCAAGAAGCTGCGAGGTAGTTGCCTCGGGTCGGTGCTACCTCACAGCCACGTGTCCAACTCCCGTTGGTTTCACATCCAAACAATGCCGAGGTGTCGGTTCCTAATGTCACTATATCTTTCTCTCTCCTCTCACGAACAAAAAATGGCACAAACTACGTTACATTCATTCGTTATCTTCAGAAAAAAGAAAAACAAAAGAACAACAAACAACATAACTTGAGAGGAGGCAGCCCAGGGATACTTAAGCGTGACTTTTTAGCAGTTTTAATTTAATTTACTAATAATTCAAAAGTAAAGAATAAATTATAAATTAATCGTAATTCTAAAATGGCCAGTGAACGAGACCCACGTAGCAGTAACGGCGAAGGCAGGACCAACCAAACCAAACGCTACGCCTCCTCTTATGAAAGTAATTCATGCCGTTGCAAGTTGCAACACCCGTCACTCAAAATCCGCGTGGCGTTCAAGAGCGAAACGTCGCCGTTTCGAGCAAGGTGATTTTATTGCTGGGTATCATCATCAGCTTTTAGATCACCTGGGAAGAAAACCATAACCGAAAAAGGCTGCTGCTGCCAATTTCACGTTTTCATTCTCCAAATTAAAGCCTCATTCCCTCAATCGACGGGTTTCTCGTGACCCTTCTCTCGTCATCATCGTCTTCCTCGTGCCCAAATCGATCCTCACGTTGTGGGTGCTGATCATATTGGGCTATAAACGCTGTCATCGACCGTGATCAAATCATTCATAAACAAAAGAAAAAGAAATTCGTTTTGGTGTGCTCAATAAATTAGTTTTTCTTTTCGCATTTTCCGATGACGTATTACGAGAATGACAGTGGTGGTCGGAGAGGGGAGGTGGTGACGGATGTTACCTTCACAATCCAACCCGATGATTGCAATGGTGACTATGTGAAATTGAGGCCCGGTCCCGACGACGGTTCTTCTGCGGTGGTGGAACCTTCTCCACCGACGATAAGAGCCACCGTGTGGTATTGGATGAAATTGGTCATGTTGTTTTTATGCCTGGGGTTTTTGGCAGTGGTTGTGCTTGTCTGGGTTGGACCCCTTTTCATGGACAAGGTTTGTGCTTTCTTCCCCCACTAGCTATTATTGGATTTGTGGTTCGTTTTTCCCTTATTAAAGTTTTGATCTTGATGTGGCAATTGCTGAATTGCACTTTTTATGCTTCATAGTGCAGAATAATGTTTATTGCATTGTTTTTGTTGCCTCTGACATGAAACATAGATTAAAATGTTTGTTAATTATAATGGAGGCTTCAATTTTTTTATGTTGCAGGGGGTTATTCCGATAATAAATTGGGAGACAAAGACTTTCAGTACTCCAGTGTTAAATGTTTTGGTGTTTGCCTCTGTGGCAATTTTCCCAACCCTACTTTTGCCATCTACACCTTCTATGTGGGTGGCTGGAATGACACTTGGTTATGGCTTTGGGTTCTTGCTAATTATATCTGCAGCAGCTATTGGTGTATCACTCCCTTTTATCATTGGCAAAACCTTCCAACATAAAATTGAAGTACGTGGTTTGTCTTGAATCAAAATTTGTTTTTGGTTTGTGTGCAGGTGTTTGCCTCACCTTTACTAATATGGATTCATGTTTCGTGTATCTATGCAGGGGTGGTTGGAGAAGTATCCGAAGAAAGCTTCTATTCTAAGGTCTGCTGGTGGAGGAAACTGGTTTCATCAGTTCCGGGCTGTTGCCTTAATCAGAATTTCCCCATTCCCTTACTTAATATTCAACTATTGTGCTGTGGCAACAAATGTCAAGTATGGGCCTTATATAGTTGGATCCTTGGTAGGAATGGTGCCGGAAATATTTGTGGCAATCTACACGTATGGTTTCTCTTCTCTCTGTCTCCCTTATTCACTTTTTTTAGTCATAGTAAGAATTTCTCTTTGGTTTGCTCGGTTATATACATGCTTAGGTTGATTATTTCCTGAATATCTAATGTTTGCATTTGAAATCTGTCATCATGTATACCTAAAGTAATGGCTAACGGGTAGGGTGACCACTTTTTGCTCCCTTTTGAATAACTCTTGCTCTTGCTTGATTATTTAGAACAATCACTGATACAATCAAGAGTCCTGCTAACCCTTCATCTTGCTTTACCTTGTATTTTGTTTCCCATTGTTGCAGTACGTTTCTGTCATGATTATTCATTCATAATGAAATAGTTATAGAACTGATTTGGCGAACTGATGAATCTTCAATGTATTGGTGAAAGAGAGATATGTCTTCAAAATTTATTTCCATTTTTTCTGAAGTGGGTTATTGCTATTGCCTTTGCTTTTTAAATTTATGGTTGTATTTTTTAATTCAATGAGCATCTTCATATTGTGTCCTCAAGTTTTGATATTCCTTGAACTTGATCTTGTAGTTGGGGAATTGGTAATTTATCTATTAAGTAGATTTTTGTTTTTCTAGTAGCAGTTTGAGTGTTTAGTTAATTCTTTCCCCTTTCTAGATCCTAATTAGGAATGCTATTAATCTCGTCAGCTTTTATATCACAAACTGTTCTGTCTTTTATGGTAGTAAGATATTGATCTGTTTCCATGCATGTCCTATGTGTATGGCTTCTTAAATTCGTTAATATACTGGACTTTTGTCTGCTAAATGGTCATGGTTGCGTGTTAATGGAATTAATTTACACAAAAATGCGTGATTGCATAATGCATACCTGTGGAAACTCTCAATCCCAACTGGTTCCACAAACCAAAACTTAAAACTACTTATTATATTTGGCTGCTCTACCTTGTCTAGTACCATCTCTTGCTGTTTTATCACCCATGCTATCATAGTTTCGTGTCGCTCTTGGCTAAAAAAAGGCTACGATAACTGCAATACATTTGAATGTCAATGGGAATTTTTTGTTTTGTCATTGACTATCATATCTTGAGGGGGTAAAGAAAACAAATGTTAGTGCAACATGGATTAGATTGTTTGACTCTCACTAGCCAAAATACGTAAGCTCTAACCAATGAGGATTGTTCAACTGGTAGGATAGGATTTAACAAAATTGAGAAAAAGGTCTAGGAATTGGGATTTGATATCTACCTATGGTTTTTCATCTGTAAGTTATTTGAGAATGTATCTTGGTCAGTAATAACACTGTTGCTGTAAATTCAATGTTGGACGGTTGGAGCCTTTTTTTTTTTTTTCTTGCTCTTTAGTTCCTCTTTTTTCTTTTTCCTGAAAAATTGCCTTTCACTGCCGTCTCGAATCTTTTTCCTCCAAAAGCATTTTATCTGATGATGGCAATGGATTTGCCATTAGTTATTGTGGTTTTTTCATCTTTGCATCTGGCATGTATTTTATGTTACATCTGTAATCCATTATTTCAAGTTACCCATTTCAAAAAGTTGGTGGGTTGGTGATGAAAATAGAAACTAATGTTGAACTCAATTCAAATTATCTGGATCCTCTTAAACTCATGGCTTACTTGGTTATTTCCGCAGTGGAATTTTGATTCGTACATTGGCCGATGCTTCACATGAAAAACATTCTCTATCTGCCCAACAAATTATTCTCAATGTTGTCGGCTTCTGCATAACGGTAGCCACAACCATCTTTATCACAGCTTTTGCTAGGAGACGGCTTGATGAGTTACAAAGGGAGGAGGAGACATTGTTGCAATAGTCCATAAGTTTTAGTCTGCTTTCTTTGTTTCCTTGTATGAAGCAGTTTCTACTATATATATTTGGGAGAGGGTTTATGAGGAAACATAATCCATTGGAAGAGTTGACAGTGAAATGTATTATAACTAGTGGGGGAAGGGTTGACAAAGGATATTGGAGGAACAGGCTAACATGACCAACACCTATTTTTAGTGCAGCATTTCCATTCCTTGCTCCTTATATGGTTTATAGCACTAGTGTTTTTTGTTAGTTCTTCTATCTCATTTATCATTTTCATTTTGTATATGAATGAAAATTCCCCATTATATATCATTGATTTGAATTCGGAAAGATAAGTTTATGCAAATCCAATGCCTCAATGTTCGCCGAGTTGCCATAGACGCTCTATTTCTTTACTTGCTGCACTCATTTATCTTTCCAAGTTTAATATTTCATATACTAGATGAAGTTTGATTTCATTTTATAATGAATCGGATAAAAAATGTAATTAAAAATTTTATGTAAAATTTTTATGTAAATTAACTTGATTTATTTAATCGCAATTCAACCCAATTCATTTATTACTTAATTTAACAGAAAATCAATCCAATAATATATTTATTACTGTTTCAAGGGTGAATATTTAATTTATCCATACAAATAATATTTAGATAAAAGATAAAAATAAAATATAAATTATATTTTGTAAAGTTTTCAAAAATGTATTTTGTAAAATATATTTAGGAAAGTTTTTTAAAAGGTTAAATTTAAAAAAGTATTTAATTATAAAATTTAATTAGATTAATTTTGTTCCTTAGTTCATAAAATTAAATTCATCTAAGATGATTTTGATCTAATTCATTAAAAAAATGAATTTTGGATAGATAATCATAAATTCATTGTACCTTAAGTAAATAAATAATTCTTAAATATAAAGATAATTAATTAAGTAATTGAATTAAAACTAAATAAGTTTACTTTTGTGGATGTAGAAATCACAATAACCCGATTGCAGGACATAGTATTTTTTTTCTTAAAATTCGTGCTAAGTCACAATTAAGATTGTGCTTTATGCATTGCTCTGCATGTATTTTGAAAATGAGTCCGAAACCCGAATTTATTTTACCCAACCAAGTTTATGAAATGGTAATTTAAGATCTGTTTTGTTTATTGTTTTTAAAAATAATTTTTTAGTATTTAGTTTTTAAAAGTTCATAACTATTTTGTTAAAATAATTTTTAAAATTTTATATTTTAAAAAATAAAAAAGAAATTAATAAAATGATTTTTCTATTTCAAAATTTATTTTTATTAGTAATCACACATTTTTATTATTATTAAAATACGATTTTTTGTATCATTCTTTTCTTATTTAAAATAGTTTTTGAAAATATAATTATTAAACAATTTTTTAGCTTATTTTTTAAAATGATTTTAAAATTTTAAAAATAAAACTAAATAAAACAACTCCATTTTTTCTTTCTATCATTCTTGTTGAATGTTCCTTCCTATTCTTCTTTCTTCTTCGGGTTTGGTCTTTCTTGTCTGCTTCATCTGAAATCTGAGACCTGGAAATATTTTTCTTTGCCGTCGTGGGGAATGGATTTTCTCATGTGAATTTGTTGAGATGATAATGTATTAAAATCTCAGCATTTATTTTGCGAATCTTTTTATTATTACTATTAATTTTGTAGAACTATACTATTTATATTGATAAAAATAATTGAAGGACTATAATCTTATAAATAATTTCAATAGTGCTTCTTGCATTTGCCCAATTCTTCCTTTCTCTCCCATCTAATATGTTGTGCTCTTTCTACGAGGTCATGGATTGTGTCGTACTTTTATTTTACACGTATCTTCGTATCTTCTTTTAGTTTATTATGTATTTGGTTTGGGTATACGAACTTGTTTGTATGCTTGAAATATTGTATTTTTTTAATTGTTAAATGGCCTTACAATTGTTTTTTATTCCATTCATTTACATTTCATATGTTCTATATTTAATATTTTAAATTAAAAAAAAAACTTGATAACAAGTCGATTATAGAGTATAGAGTAACATAAAAAATATATTCCAATGCATTTTAAATGTGATTTTGATATATAAAAGTTTGTTTTTATCCATTTAGAATAAAAAGTACGGCGTCTCTTAACAATGAAGAACCAGAACCTTTAGTGTAACTAAACCCATAAACACTAACATACATACATTTTATTATATATATAATAATAATAACAATAAAAAGAAAAGAAACAATAAGATAAGAAAAATATGAATTATATCATATGTTTTTTTTAGTTTAAAAGCAAAACATAATTTAAAAATACGAAATGTATTATTATTATTATTATTATACAATGACTTGAATAAGTTACTAGTTTACTATTTTTTTTATTTTTTATTATGTTAAGATTTTACACCTGTGATTTCTTTTAATAATCAACAAATTATACACCTTAATTATATTGAATTAATTGAGTGTATATATATATATATATATATATATATATATATTTAAATTATACATGTAAATTGAAAACTAGATTGATGTTCCAAGAAGTTTTACTTTTCTTTCATTTTGATATTTTCAATATTTTTTTTAAAATTTGTTAATATCTGTTTTTTTTAATATTATACCTTATATCTATAGAAAAATAATAATATAAAACATAAAAATTTAAACAGACTTTTTATTTTATATATATATATATATATATATATATATATATTATTTTTAAAACTAACAAACTATGGGGTGAAAATTGAAAAGTTTGTAGGAGCTAAAAGAAATGCAAGGTGTCCCTGTAAGTTTACTCAAAACATAACTGTTCATTGGATTCTCATTTGCTCCTAGTTCAAGACTGGAGTCAATATTAGTACAACCAGTGGGACCCAGCTGCTCACTATTGCGACAAGACAAGGGAAACATCCACCTGCACCAATACAATACTTCAACTTTAATTCAATATTACTATCTCCAATTTAAAATAATAAAACTATTTTTTATCAAAATAATATTAATTTGACCCTAACTTATTGAAATATTAATCTGGGTTCATTTTAGAGATGCTGAAATGTAACATAAACACAAATTTTCTCTTAAAATAATTACAGAATAGTCTCGAGGACAGGATCAACATATCCCAAATCCTTAAATTAAATCTAATCCCACATATCACAACATAGTGTCACCCCAGAAGCAACACATGGTAGACAAAAGAATCAAATTCCCCATCTTTTCTAGTTCTATTCGTCTCATATGGATAAAATATTACAAAATTCCACCACCTTCTTACTCTTCAAATTTCAACCATACATACCCATAAATCGCTCCTGTAAGAACCATCCTCAATATGTTCAATTTTTCTTTCCTTGTTCACTCCATATATATACACACTTCGCACTCACAGTTTTTTTTTTATGAAAGTTAAAATAATATTTTGATGGATAAAATTACTATAAAGATGATATTCTAAACCAGAAATTGAAAAATCAATTGAAGGAAACGAAAAAAAGCTGCAAGGGGGTCTGTTGTTTGTCTCCTGCTGCCACCTTCCAAGTAAAGAATGGTGGTAGTACATTCCTCTTCATCACGCACTAAAATATTTCCTTTTAAAAACATAATTAATTAAAAATAAAGAATGTATGATAGTAATACCTTCTTCCTCTTCATCAGCCATTCAAATATTTCCTTTTATAAAAACATAATAATTAAAATTAGAAAAATGACCATTTATTTCAATTACAGTTTAAAACAAAACCCACTTCCCTCTCACTCACTATCACTCGGCAGCTGAATCTTTATAAGCGCAAACGAAACAGATACTTCGTTCTTGGGATTAGATTCGGAGCTCCCAACCCGCATTACTCTCACTTCACCTACTAAACGACACCGTAGAGACAGTGTGTGTGTGTGAGAGAGAGGTAATGTCGATGAGGATGGTGATGGAGGAAGACGAAGACGCAGAAATAGAGCACGTGTTCGTTGCTCATGAAATCGATCTCGATTACGAGTTCGACGCTGCGAGGTTCTTCGATTTTACTCGACCGGAGACTCTAGCGGAAGCTCACGAAGCTGAACTTTGGTTTCAAAATGCCACCAGTTACCCTCCTTCGCGTTAGTCGCCTACTCTTTCTAACATGCTTTTCAAATATTTACATGAAGCGTTTTCGTTTTCTTGTTTATCGTTCGCTACATTCTGCGAAATTGTTTTCTGTCTTCATTTTTCCCTTTTATATTCGGTGCTTTCGGTCAACACACCCTCTTTTACTGTTGCTGCTGAAATTACTGAATCTGCGCTGTGGTTTCTTTGCTCCAGCTTTTATGAGAAGGCTAGTGGTGAGAGAGGATTTGTTCTTGGACGATGTTAGTGATTCGCCAAAGTCCGAACATTTGCAATGCACGAGAAATGTTGATGATGAAAAATCTAGTGTCCCGCTAGGAATGGGAGTTTTGGACACGGCTTTTCAAGATAATAGTATGCCTCGACCATTTTACTTTCTTCAATGCCGTTTAGTTATTCTATTGAGTTTTCTCAATCTTTATGAAACTCTCATTCTCACTGAAAATAGTCCAAAACGGCGTCGTATTCAATCAACTTGCTTTCTTATATATGTATATTCTACTTTTCTCGCCAATGCTTTCTTTTGCATGATGAATTCTTCATTTTTTATTATTATTTACACCTTCGTTCATCCGATTGAACAATAATTATTAGTTGTTATACTGATATTTTGTTTACTCTGACTTGAACATTGGGGAATTATCATTTATCTTCCTGAAGCTCTCTCGTCTAACTAGCAAAAATAATTTATGGTTTCTCTAAAATAAAAACTGAATCGAACACACTATCTAGTTTATGTATTTTATTTTATTTTTGTTAACGTGAACAAAAAGAATGGAAATGGGGAGCTTTTTTTTTTTTCCTGGCTCTGGGATGTTCTGTATGTCCATCTGTCCTTGTAGGGTCTCTCTGTTTGTGGTCATGGGGACCTTATTGTTTGGGCTGTGCATTGAGATGTTACAAGTTTTAACTGCTAGTTGAGGTTGAACCAATGAAAAGTTATGTATGTGGACACATTTTCGGCACCTACTACTTGAGAGCAAAGCTTTACCAGGCTTGGTTTTGTACAAGCCTTAGCGTAATTTTTAAATTATCACACTTTTGTTGAGGTCCGTCTCAAATAACTGCAACAGTGACCTGTACGCAGTACATATGTCTATTCCTCTCGAAATGTTGTTGTCACATATCCAAGCTTTCTTCGCTCAACACATTTCTTAACTTGTTGGTGACACCTTCTTCGGTAATTGTTAGTTCCAAAAGCACTTGATGGAAATATCTCTCGATTGTTGGCTGGAATTCTGCAAAATGATGGTACAAGGCCACTACAAGTACCTACAGGTAACAATCTGATACCAATACCATCATTCAGATACTAATATGAGGACTGTAAATCTGCTAAGGGTTTAGCATCTTATAATCCTTATTATGTGACTAAAAGTAGCATCGATTGATCAGTTTCACGATTGCAGTTTTGGAAGAATCAGTTTCTTTCTAGAAATTAAATTTACAATCTCATGTGCTTATGATATTGTATGATGTATAATCCTTATTTATCTAGCAATTGTCTCTTGTGCCATGGTTATTCCTATTGAAGCTTAGGGTGGAGACAGTGTATGATCCCAATTCACCTTTTTTTATAATGAAGAATGATGGTAGCAGGGATAAAATTCCTTAACACAGTCATTTAGGCTCTAATACTATGTCAATAACTACTCTCCCAAAATTTTAAGCTATTAGGTGGAACTACTTGAGTGGTGTTATATTTTTAACACGTGACATTATTTTTTTTACTCTCCTGCTGTTATTTATAACATTGCTTTTGCAATTCTCTTTATTTTCTCTATCTACCTGTCTTTTCCCTCTTCCTTCTGCTTCAACTTGTTTATTCTTATTCTGCTTGAAAATTGCATTTGTGTCTTTTTCTAGGACTTACCTTTGGCAGTAAGACAATCTACCGCAATTTGAATTCTAAGGATAAGTCATCTGTGTCAAAGAGTTCAACACTAATGAAACCTACCACTTGTCAATTGGCCAAGCAAAATCGCCCTGCTAAAAATGTTGGTTCAAGGTGAATATTAAACAAACTTCCACTTTTCATAGTTAAAGAGAGATGGCTTTTTTCCTTGGGTGGGAGGAGTAGAATGACTATATGATTTGCGATTTGTTTTGAAATGTACAATTTCATTGAACTATACTACAGTGTCTTTGTTTGCTTAAAGGAGTGTATTAATTTAAGTGCTCACTAACTTAAAGGGGCGTACTAATTAGTATGACCGTGGAGTATTATTACTGTATATCTTTGATTTTATTTTTATTTTTTTATCTTGAAAAAATATCCCACACTTATATTTGCAACTCTTCCATTCTCAGATTTCAGAAGCTACTTGCACAGAATGAACAAAATTTATCTATCTCTTCCGGGTTAGAAAGTCAAGCTGCCAAGCGGCAAAAACTAGAGGGCGGTCTCTTGTGTAAGGTCTGCAATCTGTTCAATTCTTTCTTTTTTTATTTAACATTACTGAAAGAAACAGCATTCATATTTGTCTCTTTGAAGCTCTTAGATATATAGAAATTGATCATAAAGTTGACCATGTAATGCTGAGAAATTTTATGCAGTTTCTAGCTAGTGCAAATGCTGCATCTTAAGAAAATTTTCCTAGCATTGTTACATTTGTGTGTCAGAATTCAAGGAACTTAAGTACCTAGTTGATATTTTTTTTTATGGGTAACAGTAAAATGTGTTAGTATAATAACATTTAGGCTATGTTTGAGAGTTGGGTTTTGGAGGGGAAGGGAAGGGAGAATAAATTTCTCTTTCCTAATAAATATTCTCTAATTTGATAATTTTGTAAAGTGAAAAAAACAAAATGATAGATTAGCATAAACTTAATGTCATAATCTTTTGTTTATTACATATCTTTTTTAATTTCAAAATAAGAAATATCCTCTTGTTTCCCTTTACCTCCAAAATGTCACTCCCAAACATACTCTTATACTTCAGTATTTGGTTGGTAGTGTGAAAGTGAAACGTGGACCAGGAATTCAAATGCAGTTTAAGTAATGTTGACATCACATTTATTTTAGACAGGGCATTTTTGAAATGCTTACTGTATTGTCTCCGTGACAGGTTTCAGATGTGAAGCAGCAAACCAATTTTTTCCACAAGACTCGAATGAGGGTATGAATCCTAATGCAGAATTGTTGAATCTTCCCTTGGTAAATGTAGATTATTCGAAAATTGTCAAGTATCCTCTTCATATGATTTTGCACGGTACTCATATTTTAGTCCTTCATATGTTATTCCTTTTTTCATTTTGCTGACAGAAGTCATCAAATTCATTTTATATACTTGATAAAATTGTTGAGTGGGAATTTGTTAATGGGTAAGGGTATCCTCTATTAAGCATCTAAACTAGAAATGGGAAGAGAAAGAGATTTTATATCTTTGAGGAATATGATCTTGTTTTTTGAGGGAGCAGGAAAGCGGTTCGCGTGACATACTCTATGCATTTGTATGTTCTTGCAGGATGTCACGGTTGAACAAAACTCTGCATGTTCCAAGCTGAGGCTTACTATTCCGAGGGAGCCTGACCTCAGAACAGCACAGAGAGCACATAGGATAAGGTTTGTGATTGTGCTGTGTAATGTTCTCTGAAATTTTGATGATGAATTTTCTTCTTAAGAAAATAGTCATTAAGAAATAAATGTGCTTTGCAGACCTAAAAATGTCGGAGAGGCAGAGCATGTAACAGTAGCTGCTCCCAGATTCAAAGCTCGCCCATTAAATAGAAAAGTCAGTTTTTTTGTAGTATAATTTCTTTTGTTAGATTAATTTGGTGCATTGTTGCCATCATCTTCTTTAAATTACGTTCACAATATAGATTCTTGAGGCTCCTTCATTGCCACCTCCCAAAAGGAGCACTCCACGGTTGCCTGAATTTCAAGTAAGCTCGAGTTCTGATTTTATCCATATTTATCAGCATAGTATTATTATAAAAGGAAAAGAACTGAACAAATAATCAGGAAAAGGATTCTATTTTCTACGTTACTTATCTTTGAGTTAAGGTTTTCTGTATTTACTTCTCAGGAATTTCACTTGAAGACTTCGGAGAGGGCAATCCAACACACGTCTGCTACGTCGTCTTCACTTCACTGTTATGATTCTGATAAGGTTATGTTTTTTCATACAATTTTAAATATTAAAAATGATTATGTATTTTTTTTATTGTTAATATGCATTTTCTTGTTTTATTTTCCTGTTACACGATAGACATGATTAGCCTGTCTGAAACCAAAGTTATCTGGTTGCAGGGTTGGGACAAGCATGCTACTGTTTCTGCTTTAGATAATAGAATAAAGGATTTAAGAAGGTGATAAATGCGGTGATGATTATAATGTTCTTTCAAACTTTGACTGTTCATGATACAAGGGTACTACTAACTACAAAATACTATCTCTGTCCATAGACCTACCGCAGCAGGTGCACCAACGTATGATGGATTGGGTTTTGCACACATTTTTAAAGCTCAGCCTCTTAATAAGACGGTAATGAGACGTCCACACTAAATTTAGATAAGATACGTGGTAATAACTTGTTAGTTAAGAATAAAAAACCTTAAACTATATTTTCTTTGGTGCGGTTGAGATATGATTTTTGCTGGATTCAACAGTATTATGGGATAAGTAGATAGTTCATCCTTTTTCCTTTTCTTTATTATAAAGGAACTGTAATTCTGTATGAGAGTAATCTGACTTCTGAAAGATACCCAGAGAAGTCTGACATTCAGATTTGTTTCCCCTCCTTGTCTGTAATTCTGTACTCTTTAATTTCATCTTTCATTCTTCTGAAATTTCTGACTACAGATAGTTAAAAGTAAAGGAGACGGTGTTTTCCCTAACTGCAAACAGGAAACAACAGTACCAATGGTAAGGCATAGTGTTTCATTGATTTTTTCTTCCCGTGATATTTTTTCGAGGTAGAAAATTTTAATAATTGCACCTTGCTTCAATTCGTGCAGGAATTTGATTTACAGGCTGAAAAGGAGGTTCAACAAGATCCACCAATTGAACTCTTTAGCAAGGTGAATTTAGTTTCTTTGTTCGTTTTTAATCCATATTTCGGGCTACCTTTTTTTTTGCTTGATGTAGTTTCTTGAGTTTACTCTCGAGCCTTGAAAGGAATTTAAGTATTTTTGCACGTAACTTTGCCGCTTGAAATTTCGGTTGGAATTGTTGCTTTACCATGAAGATATTTTTAACGATTTTCAATCTTTCGACTTTCTTGAAATGTTAGCTGTCTCTGACATCTGAATGCCAGCCAAATAATGGATCTCATTTCAAACTGTCTCAGCATTCCGGGATGTGTAGAAAGGTTGACCCTGTACATTGCTTCTTCTTTTTGTATAATTTATCCTCTACAATTTTGAATTGCACGTAAATGATCTTGGATTAGTTTTCCTGTTGGCATTGTATTGAGTTCTTTGTTTCTTAGTGCAAGGACTCAAAAGAAAATATATTAAATTCTTTTCGTCCGGACCAAGAGGTAATAATAGTATGTGAAGTATAACTGTGTCTCCAGAACGCGACCTCTGTTAGCCTTTGCTTTTCATATAACTTTTTCTTTTTTAAATATTTGAAAGTAATATTTCTATCTTTTAGTGATTCATCATAAATGACAAATATCATCATCTAGCTCACACACATGTTGCAGGAGAAGAATTTTGCGTTAGGGGCAAATCAAACTTCTCGACGGAATGGCGGTTGCATCAATCTAATGGGTGGAAGGAGGTATGCGCTGTTGAAACCAATCTTCATGTTTAATGCGATTTTAAGTCAGACCCCAACATAAATTGATTGCTATATATATTCAACATTCGAACTGAAATATTCCAGGAGCTTGGGAATTCGGTGACAATAAAAACTAGGTTATGGGCATTGTTTCGGTACGTACGTAAAGTTTCACATCGTTTAGTAGAAGGTAGGGGTATATACACTCTTCTTTCTTAATCCATAAAAACACTTCTCAAAAAATCTATAACGAACAAAAGTTCTATGGACAATACCCGATACTCTATCCTTAATCCGAACATGCATCAAACTAGAATTTTTGCTGACATGGGATTGACTGTAAATAGTTGAATCCGACAATCCCCTAACAAATGATAGGTGTATATTTTGTTTTCTGTACACAGAATCATACATTTTTTCTAGAAATTAACGTGTCCTAGGCGCACAGCTTGTATCTTCTATAACTGTCCTGATCATAATTCAAAAAATATATCATTCTCTGAAGCTTATGTCAATTTCGTCTTTCATAGCATATTAGCATTAATGCGTACTATATATATATATATATATATATATATATATATATATATATGGACAGAGTTCTTGGCCATGCGTCAACCTTGGTATATATAAATTGACTGTTATATTAAGCTTTATCGCTCTTCACAGCTCAAAAAACTTGGGACTGAGTACCGATCTTCCTCATCTCAGTTTGGGAATGGATCCTCTGCAGTTTTAGAAAATAATAATAATAATAAAACGGAGTTCAGCTTCCTAAAACTTACATATATTTTTGGTCATTTCTCATTCATTTTGGAATGAATTTTAGAGAACGTATTTTTTTACATTTGGAAAAGTTGAGGAGGAGAGGTGACCCAAAACAAGTATGGGGGTGGGAAGAAATTTCTCATAAAGCGTTATTATCTAATCTCGACACTATGCAGTTGTCATTTCGTCCTTGCTCATCTAATCTCAACCTAAAAGGCAGAATCAAGTTGGATGAACTTATATTTGATTATTCTTTATTCGGTAAGAGCCTACGAGGCCCATGATTCCACATAAATTAATCAGAATATACTTTGTTAGACTTCGAATATAATAAAAATTGTTATTAATACATGTGCTCAATAAATCTGCACGAAACAAAGTACAGATGACATCTTCACCATTTGGAGTTTCATGCTAAGCTACCTTTTTAGTTTTGCCATTCTTGTCGTTGGATTATACATGCAAAAATCTATTTATTTGGTGGATTAAAAGTCTATTACATTCTTATGTTTGTTACGAATGTTGAAAAATCATTCTTGAATGTGGTTGGTTATTAGGAAAGTTCTAATTTCTAATTTTTAATGTTTTCCACACTTTTATTCCTATGAGGAATGCGGAAAAGTGTTTTTTTTTTTTATGGAAATATAAGAAGTTATTTTCTAATAAACACATTTTTTACTTATTTTTATTTTAAAATTAAAAAAAAATGTTAGATGTATTAAAAATGTCATATATTCAGAAATAACATTTTTTAGTTATAATATTCCTATAAATATGACTCTGGAAATATAAAGAAGCTATGGTTGTTAGATATTCTTGCCTTATTCTCTGGGGATCTTATTGGAATTCGTTTGGTGATTTCATATGGTTTGACCCTTAGTATGCACGGCGAGTTTTTGGGCCTTTTTTATAAATCCTTTTATTTTATTTTTCTCTTTGTAATTTGTTTACCCATTTGAAATCCTCCTAACCCACCCCTTTTTCTCTGGCACCTGCCTCTCACTCTCACTCAAAATGGGTACAAGAATAAATATCATTCCAATTCATGATTTCATTTCCAAATGGCAGACACCAGAATTTCAATCAAATTTTGATTTAATGGCTTCGGCCGGATGATTCGTTACAGGTTTGAAACGTCACCGAATCCGCTTCTGCCGGACGAACTTTTTTAATTTGTCATACTTAACACCTTCCTAGATAATTTTTAAGTATATTTTGTTACCGTTTTTTTTCAGTTTTAAACCTGGTTAAGCCTAACCAACTCTCAACTTAACCCATTTAAACTTTGCAGTGGAAAAGAAATTATTATATCTCATTATAAACTTTTCGGGCACTATACTCCTTAAGTCTTGAGGGATTACAAATATATATGCAGTGAACAATCCAAACTATTAAGTAATGAAAATAGTATTCATCCATAAACTTGTAACGTTACAAATATCATATAACATTGTTTGAAGCATAATTATAAATCATAATTTTTCTCTTGGACTTTTTATATTTTAAAAACTTGTGGATTATTTTTTTTCATTTTCAACACTATTAAAATTCTATACATGCGGCAATGACGCAAGGCCTACCTCGAGATTTTCCAGTAATATATATAATCAATTTACAATGACAAAAATGGAAGGGTTTTTGAAGACATAATATAGATAGTTATTGTGAACGAAAGAAATGGAAGGGTGAAAATATAAGCGCGTTGAAGAAATTTATTTATTTAGAAAGTTTTGATTTTTAATATTTTCTTTTAAATTAACCTACATTATTTATTTGAAAAAAAACAGATTATTTTGCTCTCAAAAAATTAAAACAGAAGCTTCAAATGTTACAAATTAAACTTTTTATATAGTTATTAATTATCAAAATGATTTTATTGGGACCTTGATAATTTATATTTAATATAAAAAATGTTAAAAATAGTGGTAAAAAAGTAAGTTAATGGGAACCATTATACTATAACTGTTAATATCCGTTTGTTCCTGCAAATAAATATGTGTAGGCTAAGATAGAACCCAAAAATCCTAATTGAAGATTGTATGTATGTAAATGTCCAAGACTGAAAATTGTTCAATTATTTGCTCTTCCCGTAATGACTACGGACTGATACTTGGGTAAGTATGAAGAGTGATCCTTGTTTAATTATTTGTTTCATTGCGTTAGATTTCGATAAATTGATTGTTTTTCACTAAGAATATAGTTAATTTTATTTATTAATAAAATATTATTTCTATGTGGAATATATAGGGTTGTTTAAATTATAGAGTTACTTATCAATATTTCTTTTATAATTAGCAACATTATACTTTGTTTTCCAGGGTTAACACGAACACGGCTTAAACGATTCCGAAAATATAGTATCCATAGAAACCAAAATCTTGTAAATCCAATCTCTTTAATGATAAGATCCAAGAGTATTTTGTTCAATCATTTTCTCCCTGTAAAAGATAAAATTCAAAATGAACATGGAGTGATAGTTGCATGTCCAACAAATACAAGAATTGAACTTTGATCACATGCTTTTTATTAATTTAATTTATTAGGTAACAAGTCACATGCCGTCTTGGCGTAAACAAAATCCATTTGTGGCATTATTACACACCTAACATCGACCAAGTACACAGTGAAGTTCCTATGTTAGTCCCAAAATAACGTTTGAATGATAACTTATTAAGGTACATATAACGCGGGATTAGCAACATCCTAGCAATACTTAAATGCTATTTGACCTGATTCAAACATGGACATCTCCCTAGCCCTTTGACAAGTATTGGAAATTTTACAATCCATATTATTTATATCATAAAATAGATATATTCAGAAAGACACAATGTAACTTTCAACCAGCTTCGACTAAGATGGAGTAACAGCGCCAAGTTTCATGAATTAGGCCAAATGGATGCAAGGAATGTCATTTTTCAATATTTTAGATAGTGGTGGTTGTTGTTGTTGAAGTGTAACCACATTGAAACTTAAAGCACAGTTTAGGACACACGTGTGACGTGATTGGTGGTGAGTGTAAAACATGACAGTCTTTTCATATGCCACTGTTCACTTAGTTTAGCGGCCACGATACCCATTGACCTAGCAAGCCAAGCAAAACAGAAATTAGCACAATCGGGTGCAATTTGGGCAGGGAAGAAGTACTGCTACTGCATTTCAATCTGAATGCATATTGTGCCTGAGATATCACACGAGAGCGTAGGGAACCAAATTTAGCTTTTGGTTCTATACTTAGTCGTAAATACTGGCCAGTAAAAAAATTATTGAAATATCTGAATTTTGTCACACCTGATTCGCAAAGAATCTCAATGGCAATATTGAGACTAGTCACCACACACAACCAAATGAGCTATAGATATGGTAATATACCTAGATATGATCACTCACCACAAGAAAGCCAAGAAACATACCTCCCAGCATCAACTCAATTTATACTCTTACTCACTGTGTTCAATTGTACATTTGGACCTGCATAACAATTCCCATACATTTTGAACTAAGCAATACATACATACACATCATATTTATGTCATTTAACTGGTGAAAATGAATTCTACTTACTAATGGTTCTTTAAGCAGAGAAATAAAATCCTGCTGAGATGTTAAGAGATTTGTGCTGCAAGAACGAAATAGTTTCCCTAAACTTGGCTATATCCATCAAGTTTCTCTAAATACTAACACACTCATAAAAAGTGGCCATGAAAAGTAAACTTCCAAAAGTTTATTAGATTGGTCATTTGTAACTCGCCAGATTTTTATTAACATTGACAAAGCCTTGACATTAACTAAGCAATGACTGGGACTGATTTCAGGGTACTCTGTTTACTTCAGAAGTACTTTAAGAGTAATTAATATGGCACTGCATGTGTGAAAGAAAGAGAGCAATGAATGACTACATATAGATATATGAAATTGGAAGCTTATTTTCATGAATCGCAATGAAATGCAAACTAATACAAAAAGAAACTACAATTCCTTAACAAACAAACACACACAAAAGAACAATGTTTGAATTCTTAATATTACTGCATCGATGGATCATCACTATGAAGCAGTTCGGTTGGTTGAGGAGCCATAAACCGAAAGAGGCAAACCATACAAACATTAAGCTCTAAGCTCACAATCGAATCTGACAAAACACCAAATGAGAAAAGGACAAAAAATGAAAAAAAAAAAATAGTTGATGTGATTAACAAAATGCAGCGAAGGAGAATTTTCCTCCCTCACGAAATACACTTAAGTTTTCGTTCTTTGAACGTTTTATGTATGTTGCCAAAGGGCACAGAGCTTTTCATATATAAGCTTACACAACGGTAAGAGAAAATCAGAAACCCAACCCAACAAGACAACTAATCCTTCCCTCTTTCTGCTTCTCCATCCTTCCTATACAGTCCAATTGCTGTAATTAACTCCATCCAATATCCATGAAAATAAAATTAAATCAAACTAAATCGATGCAACATTAAAAAAAATGATAAAGAAAGAAATACCCGAAGATGAAGGGGTTAATAATGCCTTTATGAACTAAATCGGTGCAACATTAAAAATATATATATATATATGATAAAGAAAGAAATACCCGAAGATGAAGGGTTAATAATGCCTTTATGAAAAGCCAAAAGAGAAAAGAAACGGCGTCGTGCGAATCAATCAATGAGTCGTAACTTTGGACCTCTTCTTGGCCTCGCTGTAAAGCACCACCCCCATGATCGTGATTCCGAACCCCGCCATTCCCATAACCGTCACCGGATTCCTGAAAATCAAAACCGAAACCACCGCCGCCACCGTCGCTTTCGCATTCCCCAACACCTGAAGCGTTAACGCGCTGGTATGCTTCGTCACCAAAAAGTTCGTCAAGTTCACCAAATAAGCTACCGTGGCATTCCCTATAAGCAAAAACAAAATAAAAGGGTCTCCCCTTGCTTTCTCAATAGTTAAAGCCAACACATTCCCTTCGATGTAGAGAGTAAACGGCAACAGTATTAGCGCCGCCAAGGGAGCCATGTAGAGAAGCAAGTTCATGGAGTGTAGCTTCTCCGCTTCAGAGGTCAACAGAATCCCCTGCACCACGGACTTCAAAGCGCGACCAGCAGTTGAACCGACACACACCAAAAACCCAAATAAATGAAACAAAGGCTCGCTATTGCTGGCAACCACGATCCCAAACACCACGGGCAAAAGCGCGAGGTAAACCTCCGCGGTTTCCTTTTTGCAGGTGATTATGAAAGCGAAAATGGCGGTGAAAAACGGCGTCGTTGCGCCGATGGCTTGGTTGAAGGAGACGGGAAGGTAGCGGAGCGAGGTGTTGCCACAGACGACGGAGAAACAGAAGATGGCGCTGAGGGCGAGGATCTTAAGGAACTGCTTCTTGGAGTGGATGTTTTGGAGGGGAACGATTTCGAGGAAGTTGATGGAGGCGTAGGAATAGGCGGCGCAGGATAGCATGTGAAGCATTGTGAGGAATATGGGAAAACGATAACCGTAGAAGCTGAGGAGGTACTTGTTGAGGAGGAGGACACCGATGTTGGAGAGGTACCAGGAGGCAATGATGAGGGCGGTGACGAGCGTCGGCGAGAGGCTTCCGCCGTTGGATCCGAAGCTGTTACGGAGCTCCCCCGGCGGCGTGGGCGGAATGTCGAGCACCTGCTCCGTACTGTCGAGGCGAGGATTGCTCATTCGCCGCGTGGTCCATGTCTGGGCCTCCACCATCGCCGACAGCACTCTGTGGTTTCGGGGATGCTAAGGTTGGGTTTGGTTTGAGCGGCCAGATCTGAAGTGAGACGATGGTGTTGTGGGGAAGGAGAGTAATATTTGATCGCAGGATGTGGTGGGAGATTTGGGGCCGTTGGATGGAGATTGGAGGGAACAATAAATAATAAAAAAGGGTTTAGTTGAGTGTTGGGGTGGGCCAGGGTTTGTTTGGGTTCGGAAAAGATGGATGGTGGAGAGCGCTCACACCCTCCGTTTAGTCTCTGGTGCACATGTTGAGGTTGGGTTGGGTGTCGGTGTTGAGTGGGATACTTGTTAGATCTTGATAAGAATAACTTCTTCTTTTTCCCTTCATTTCCTATTTTTTTCTTCCCTTCTTTTATTTACCTAATTTTTTCTTAGATATGCCTATTCCATTTAAAATTATCTATTCAATTCATAAAATATTACTGTAACTTATTTCAACATTCTATTCTTTTATATCTGTTATCCTTTATTGTGACTTCTAAGATGATAAAAAGTATAAATTCTTCGAAATTCTAAAATCATCCATTAATGTGAATTTGAAACTTCCATTGGATCTAAGAAGTCAATGAGTTTTTAAATGCTCCACTCATAAACATTCATTTTTTTTTTCACTCAAACTTTATTTTTCATGAAAAATAAAATAAAATATAGAACTAATAATCTCAAGCTCGTAATTTAAGATTGCAACGATATGAGATGCGATTTTTGTCGCGGATAGCGGTATTTAGTTATGTGGGCATAAAATAAAATAAGCACAAAATAGAATAAATAATAACGCGTGAGCAAGAGCTTTGACCGGTGCTCTAAATGTGAGGACTACTAATTTTGATGGTGGATCCACCACCTATGATGTCATTTTGTTTTATTCCATGAATCTACACAAAATCCTGGTTTCCTCACAGTGACAAACCACTCCAAACTACAACTTAACGTTTCTAATTAAACAACTTCTTTATTAGTAAAGATAATGACTAAAATACATATTTTTACCTAGTAAAACAAAAAATATTGTTATTAATCATTTTATACTTAAAAATTAACAAAATAGTGTTCTCATAAAATTTATGTAACAAAAATCTATTTTATTTAAATACATGAAAATTTATTGTTTTTATTAAAACGCTTCCGGAATTGCTTACGATTAATTAATTATTAGTCCAGATAGAGTATGTCAAGGCCACTACTTTAGTTCTGAATTCATTTGAACGTAATGAAATATTGGTGAGAGTGAAAATGCTGATGCTGCATCGTGGCCATCGAAGAACAACCTCAAGAATAATTGGCTCTACCATTTTTAGCATATTTTATGCAACTTTTGATCGATCTGTTGCCAGCTTCAAATTTATTATTCATATTTTCATCTTTCTCTTCATTAACGTCTGAATTTGTTTGTAGTTAACATGTAAGAAAATACTAATTTTTAATCTTCCTCGAATCTTCTTTTTTTCTGTAATTTTTCTTTTTTATTTCTTTATTGTAATATTTTTTTCTCGTAATTACTGAATAAGAGTATTGGTTGTAAATCCATCAGAAATTTAATAACAAAATTTGTTGCTACTAATCTATTAAAAATATCAATTTTATTTTGTTCCTTCATAAATCATTTTTCACTTCTTTTCTTTCTTAAATTTACATATATTTTATATTCATCTATTTCTTTATCATTATATTTATATTTTTTAATCATTTATTCTTTTTAATTATTAACAGAATTCATTCCTCGTTAACTCGGTTGAAAATATTAATTAGTGACGAATTTTATTCATTGTTAATGTATTTAAAAACAATAATTTTTCTTTCTTTATTTTTTTCTTTTAATTATTGACACAAATTATTTTTTTCTTTTAATTATTGACACAAATTATAGACCATTAATTTATTGGAAAATATTAATTATCTGATGAATTTGTAAGTCAATTATCTCTTGAAAAAAATTGTTTTTTTCATTTCTTCATTCGTCCCTAAATGTGTTATAAATTAAAGAATATTGCAAAATTTAGAAAGTGTTCCCACAAGTTATAGAGACAGTTCCGGAGAACGTGTTCTCACACGTTACATAATACTATTTCAGATAACGTTTCAGAGAACGTTACAAACTCACTACCAAGTCTTCTTATAACTGCTACATACTTTCTCCTATAAATAGATATAACTTCAGACTCTTCAGAAACACATCTCTCATCTTCTTTTCTTTAATTTTCTTTCTGTTATCTTAGGTTAATTTACTCTTTTGAGAGTTTCTTGCTAGTTTTTAAGATTCTCGGTTATTCCGAGAAGTTTCTGCTATATCTTGGGGAACTTGCGCAATACACCGCGGATAAGTCCTTAAGGCAGTGCTTATACACGCCTCAGGAATAAAGTGTCAATTTTTCAACCATCTTAAGGACTTAAAGTTGATAATACGAATATAAAAAACTTCCTTCAACAGTTTTACAATATTGGATAGTGAAAGAAAGGAAATTATGAAGTGCTCATGGATCAAGGTTAGTCTTCTGATTCATAATTCATGTATGTTATTATGTGAGAATCAATTATTATCTGAGAATCAATTCATATATGTTATTATATGATTATGATTCATGTATGCTATTATGTGAAAATAAAGAATCTAAACCTGAAGAGTAGTTTTATAGGATTAGTAACGTATAAAAATTACAAATTAAAATACATGTGGTATCGAGTTATACTTATTAGATTTATGATTTTTCTCTTATAATAATTTTTAAATTATGTTTTTCCCAAATTAAGATAAATCCTAATTAAGAATTTGGGATTTACGTATCATATTAACATGAACCCTAATTTATGTTTTCAGTTACAATCAATTTCTTATTCAAATGTGAATGACCCTGTAATTCTTATTGAAAAGACAAATGATGTGATTGGGTTAAAGGTGAATAATGCATGAAATTGGTTTCACGTTATAATTATAATAGAAAATGTTTGGATGTTATAATTATGATAGAAAATTTTTGGACGAAAGTGATGTCATCAAATACATGTTCCTTTTTCCGATTTATTACACCAATGCAATAGAGAAAATGAGAAATGCATTATGCATAATTATTTTATGTTATGGGAGAAATTATGCAAAATTATTATATGTTATGAGAGATTTGTTTTGGTAGTGAACAATTAGCAGTTACGTGTGCATGACTTAGATCTACATATTATTTTGTACATACGTGTAGAATATTATTTGTCCACATATTATTTTGTATACTAATAAGAAAGGGTTGAGATTGTATGAAACCAGTGGATCTAACCTCACTCTACGTTCAACAAGGAAAATTGCGTGGAAAGTAAGGTCATCATGCACGCCAGTGTAGACGTGGAATGAGAAACGACAATCCTCCTAAGGCAAATTAGCCAAAGGAGAAGATATAATTATTGCGGTCATTTCCCAAATAAACCTTGTGACAAATGTGAGCAAATGAGTGGTAGATTCTGGTGCTACCAGGCACATCTGTGCAAAGAGAAGTGTTTTTACCTCCTCCACTAGTGTGGGGATGAAGAAGAACATATTTATGTCGGTGATTTCAGGGCAACTCCTGTCTTAGGAAAAGGAAAAGTTCTTCTAAAATTCACATCTGGAAAGACTCTGACCTTGAATGATGTACTACATGTGCCATTAATCAGAGCTAATGTAATCTCTGTAGCACTATTGGAAAAAGTTGGGGTTAAAGTGTCATTCGAATCTGATAAGATTGTTATGACAAAAAATAATGTGTTTGTAGGGAAGGGATATTGTGATCAAGGTCTTTTTGTACTTAACATCTCTAAGGTTGTTAATAAATCTTGTTCTTCTGCTTATATTATTGATTCATATGATCTGTGACATTTATAAATGACTATTTTACATACATCAAAGTATACTTAATCAAACATAAGGATAAAGCGTTTGACATGTTCTTAACTTACAAAGCGGAAGTAGAAAATCAATTAAATAGAAAAATTAAAAGGATTAGGTCGGATAGATGTGGTGAATATATAACATTTAATGATTATTGTCTTAAAGAAGGTATTGTTCACAAATTAACCCCACCTTATTCACCCGAGTCTAATGGAGTAGCTGAGAGAAAAAACAGAACTCTGCCATGCTTATTAGCCCTAGTGCACCTAATAACCTTTAGGGAGAAACTCTACTTATAGCGTGTTTCTTACAAAATAGGATACCACATAAGAAAACAGGTAATACTCCCTACGAGTTATGGAGAGGTTATAAACCTAATCTTAAATATTTAAGAGTGTGGGGGTGTCCAGCTAAGGTAATGTTACCCAATCATAAGAAAAGGAAAATAGGTTCCAAAACTTCTGATTGTATGTTCTTAGGCTATGCAGAACATAGTGCTGCCTATAGGTTTCTTGTGTCTCAAAAGTGATGTAATTGAGCATAATAGAGACAAAAAATGTTGAGTTCTTTGAACATATTTTTCCTCTAAAGGTTAGTGAGACACCTAAACAATCTATAGATATTAATAGTGATAAAATATATGAGGATTTGAGGAGAAGTAAAAGACAAAGGAAGGAAATCTCCTACACTTATATAGTTAAAAATGATCCAATGAGTTTTTCAGAGGCTACTAGGGCTCCTAATGCAATACATTGGGATAAGACCATTAAGACTGAAATTGATTCAATTAAGAAAAATAATACTTGGACTTTGGTAAATTTGTCTGAAGGAACAAAATCTATTGGTTGTAAGTGGATCTTTAAAAAAAAGTATCATCCTGATGAATCCATAGATAAATACAAGACAAGATTAGTAGCAAAGGGTTTTACTCAAAAATTCAACATTGATTATATTGACACCTTTGCCCCTGTGACTAGGATTTCCTCTATTCGAGTTTTGTTAGCTCTAGTAGTTATACATAAGCTAGTTATACACCAAATGAATTTTAAGACAACCTTTTGAATAGTGAATTAGAGGAGGAAATTTATATGACTCAACTTGAAGGGTGTGTTGTTCCAGG